CTTTGCGAGGTTGTTCACCAAACATTGCAGTTGCTCTGGCTCCCCTGGCATCACTCCCAGTCTTCACAATCAACTCCAGACTGAACTGGCTTTCACTAAACACCTACTATATGTCAGGCAATAAGGACGGTGTCACCACACACATCATCCTGTTCCCATGATTGCAAAGCATTTCAACACCGCAGCACTAGAACGAGTTTAAATTGATAGCTATTACTTAGCACTTTAAAAAATGAGCCAGAATGACACATACTATTAATTATATGTTATTCCATTCAGATTTTAAAGAGAGAAAAAGATTCTGTGTGATTTCACACTGTGCTAATTTTTCTAATAGGCAGAAGAAAAGGCAATAATTTAGTTGTGACAATATCATAATCCTCCTACCCAAAACCATAATAAAAGAATATCCCACTGAAACACCTCAGTCAAAAGGCTGTTTTCTTTTATGATGATAAAAAGGTATTTGGTTCATTCTGATGACATTGTAACTGATTCCAATGTTCTGCATGAAGGAGGAAAAAATCATTTTCTATTGTACATGTAGTAATAAGTAGCCATATAAGCTTTAATATTGTGCATTAGAAAGAAAGAGGGGGGATAATTAACCGCCATCATATTATTTCCTGTCATCAGTAGTGCACGCAGAAGCTGCACACAAGTATAGTCTGGGGCAAGTGCATCCGCCATCTTTACTTCACCTAAGGCATGGTGCCATGGCACCATGGTGTGGAAACGCCAAGCCAGTGCTGAGTTTTCTTTTCCTTTACATCTGCTCCTCTGTCCTGACACTTCTCTAGGTGGGGGAAAGAGGCTAGAAGATATTAAAGCAGCTAAAATATTGCAAAAGAAATAGTAAGACTCCTCCTGCCTGAATTAGGGAGTGGAACCAACCCTGTAACATTTACTCTCTGAACTTGGCAATTTGTCCATAAGATGATGTTAAGAGATCTCAGCCTGAGAAGTCTAATCCTGATTTGGCCTAAATGAAAAATATTGGTAAAGGGGTCCCAGTATGTCCCTGGAGCCAAGTCTGTAGGAAGAGGAGGTGGGATTGGGTTTAAAAAAAAAAAAAAGGTATGCCTAGAAGAAGAGAGTGGGGATGGGGATGGGACTTGATTGTATCCCAAATGGGATTTTCCCCTGAGAATAGTAATCCAGTTATCCAGTCCAGCACATGCTCAAAATCAAAGTATGGGAATAGTGAATAATTAAAAAGTAATCAAAATATGTATCACTGTCTCATATCTGCATGTCCTCTACCTCCTACGTGGCTTTCTTCATCTGGCCATTGCTGCCCATCCTTCAGACCTCCACTTAAGCATCGGTTGGCTGCCCCAGGAAGTCTGGCCTGCCTCTGCATTCTCATCCTAGCATGGGTACCCTCAACTGCTCCCATAAAACCACATGCCCACTTCTTGTTAGGGAGGGGGGAGATATCTCTGCTTCTGAAATAGGGGGAGAGATACACTAATTTTGAACATATTGAATTTGAAGGGTCTGTAGGATGTCCAAGTTTTAGCCTTGGCACACAGAGGCTCTGGCCCCTCGCTCTCTTCTCCTTTCCTGTCCCCCTCAGCATGGGAGGAGAGCCGCTATTTTGACTGATTCATTAGACCACATTGCAAAAATGAGCAGGGACACTGTTGAAAGGCGACATGCACTCATGAGTGGTCCTTCTCTTCTTCCATTTGCTGCTAGATGCAGCAGGCTGGTCCTTTTTGTCAATGTGGCTGTTTGGGTAAGTGTGTTTGGGAGTCTGCCTCAGAGACCTCCCTTTTCCTGTCACTGTCCACCAGGATGCTGAGATTTGGTTTGGTTGGAAGCAGGAATATTCCAGAGGCTCAGCCACAGCCAGACGCCCAGACCCAGCTCACCAGGGCAGCCCTGCATTTGGCCTCATTGGATGCTTGTCTGCCTGGCTTTCTGTTCTCCCTTTGGCAACAAATTCCTAAATGTATAGCTCCCTTGTCAGGAAACTGCGAAGAAAAGCATGGCGTGTGGGAAGGTTCTAGCACCTAACTACATCTCAGACCTCTAACACTTAGGACAGTGCACTGTAATTATTTGACTCCTTCTTAGATGGTACAATCCCTGAGAAACTATTATTAATCTTGGTATCCCCAGTGCTTAGTACAATGTCCAGCATAAATTAGAAGGTCAAAAAATGTTAAGTGAATGAATGAATGAATGAGTGAATGAATGAGTTCAGCCATACTTGGACCTACTTCAGCATTCTAACCTCTGGCCTCTCTGCCTCTGTTCCTGTCAGGTAGACCCCTGAATATTCCCTGAACAAGCTGTGTCTGATCCACCTGTGGTTAGCCAGCTAGTCACTCCCCAATCCTCCTGGATCCCAGTTCAACATTCTCATTCCCTATCAAGCTCTTTCCAACTATAATAGTTCTGCCCGCACGCATCTGCTTTCTAAACACCTCTCACACAATTAGTTTAGTACTTCATTATTCTTTAATTTGTGTTAAGTGTGTCAGAGTCATGTTCTTAACTAGACCGCATACAACCTAGTCTTGACTCACTTATTCCGAAAGACATCAACAGGTAGGGCCAAGTTTGCAAGTAGAGGAGCGGCTGTCTAGTCCCACTAACCTGAGTGAAGTGGGATAGGTCACTTACTTTCTGTGGGCCTCAGTGTCCTCATCTGTGAAAATTGAGGGAGTAATTATCTGCTTGGCTGTGTCATGGGCATTACGAGGATCAAAATAAAAACACAATGACACCTGCAAAAAATGTATGCACCATTTATACCTCATAGATCATGGAATAGATAGATGGTCAGAGGAGACCTTAATAAATGCTGATAGATTTACTTGATAATAATTATGCTGCTCATAGGATCTCATTAGTGAAGGTTGAATTGTTCTAGTGAGGATTATTATTACTATTGTTATTTATTTATTTATTGCAATGACAGGTGGGTAATCCAGTGTCTTTAAGACTCTGAGGATGGCCATTAGGCTGAAAATGTTTGAGAAATTACTACAGGGAATCCCTTGGAATGCAGTTTGGCAATTTTGTTAAGTTTATCATCATCATATTTCTTAAATTTAATTCCAGTTTATTAGGGATTTACAATTCAACATAGGAATCATCTAAAACTTCATCCTTACTCACCTCCCTTCCATTATGTACTTGTAACATTATCTTCACTTGAATTTTGATTCCAGTATAGACATACATGGAAAGTTAGGCAAGACTTGTCGTCCCCATTTAGTTTAGTGAATTTGAAGGTCAGAACTTGAAAGTCATGGAGTCAGGACCTGGTGCTCACACAGTGTGATGGTTCAGTCCTCTTTCTGGTAAGATGAGGTGAAGTAAGAGAAGGATCAAGGCTTGGGTACAGTATAAGGGAAATGTGGGCTGTTTAATGTCCTAAGTATTTAGGTTTGATGGGGTCAAAGGTTAAAATTTTTGTTTAAAATTTAAATTCCTGGATTATCTCTCAATGTTTCATATGTATTATTCCTATTTGCTCTACTCCATATAAGCAAGAGTTCTACAGTCATTCATTGATGGAGATACATTCTGAGAAATGTATCATCAGGCGATTTTGTTGCTGTGTGAACATCACAGAGAGTACAAGCCTTTCTGGGCTACAAACCTGTACAGCATGTTACTACACTGAATACTGTAGGCAACTGTAACACAATGGTAAGCATTTTTGTATATAAACATATCTAAACATAGAAAAGGTACAGTAAGAATATGGTATTATAATCTTATGGGACCACTGTTGTATGTGTGGTCCGTGGTTGACTGAAACGTTGTTAAGTGGTGCACGACTATATATGTGGTGATGAATATTTAGCATATGTAATAGCATATGTATGCTGCCAGATGGATCTCTGAGTCCACTTTCTTTGCATATTGTAACTTTAACAAAGTTCCTACATACACTAGATTAATAAAGAACTTCGATGTTGTGTGATAATAAATTGTGACTTATTCAACCTTTTAAGATTTTAAAAAGACTTTACATATCAGTTTTTACTTGAGAGATCAAAGAAAAAATAATAATTTTAGGGAAATCACAGAACAATTTTATCTTAATTTCATTAAAGGAAATTATATTTGTAGCAACACTGCATCAGCTCAAAAAAAGTTAGAATTCTTTATATACAGATAATATTATATATACTTTAAGATTCCCTAAGTCATGATGTATATTGTTATTCATGGATTTTTTTGTAAGCAGCTTTAAGATGTCACATAAAAATATTTGTGCATACTTTTTATAGTGTGGTATAAAGTACCAGTATGTTATGCAACTCATTTTCTTTGATTTTGAAGTTACGTGTAAGAATCTATTGTAATGACATTAATTTTAAATTAAGCTCATGTGAACAGATACTTGAAGAAGGGAGAAGTTTAACAGCTTTAGCTAGGTTAATTAACATGTCCCATGTTGGAAAGGTAATCAACCTACCGAGTAGTGACCTGAATAGATGTGTACACCTCAGCTGTCTGACATGGTGGCCACTAGAGACATGTGGCTATTTAAAGTAAAATTCATTAACATTAAATAAAATATAAAACTAAGCTCCTTATTTGCACTAGCCACATTCAAAGGCTCAAAAGCCACATGTGATTCGTGGCTCCCATATCAGACAGAGGGATAAAAGACATTACACAGAAATTTCTGTTAGACAGTGATCCCTTCTGCTGGCAGCATAGGTTAACAAGGTTAACAAGAGTTCCATGTGAATGGGGTGAAAGTTCAGAAAATTTTCCCAAATTAGCATTCCCTTGGTCAATGTCTCCAAATGGTTCTACAAGTTTCACATGCACACACACACACTCACATACACACACAGGTAAGTCTTGATTATCATTAATAATCATATCTTTATATCTTTCATAGCCATTGCTTTAATATCCCTGAAACAAACCCTAAATCTGCCACTTGAGGGAGATTGTAATTTAATGAATAACTGAAAACAATTCTCACTATTTCAATAGCACATTTTTCATTGAAGAGGATACACCTTTGAATGCATGGTACTTTATTTAAATGCACATATATACAATGATGACAAAGGAAAACATTACAGAATTAGGCACAATGGCTGCATGCATTAGCAGGATGGGCAGACTCTCGCTTTACAGGATGAAATATGGGTTGAAAATAGGAAGAGACCAGAGAGCAAGTTTCATTTCCCATCACCACATAGAAGGGTCTTCGAGCCTGCAAAACATAAGGAGAAAAGCATGTAATATAACAGAAGCTGCCTGACTGCCTGGGATGCTTGCAAGAGTTAGACGTTTCAGTTCTGAGCAGAAAGATGACCAGAAAGTGTTGAAAACCCTCCTGAGGGCATTCTAAATAGGAGGCCACGTGGAATATCAGAACGTGAGACAGCGGCATAAAGTGCAAAGACCCAGCTGAGTAGCTTTCACTGCTGTCAATGGGAGTCTCCGGGAAACCTCACGGGGAGGATTTTAAAGGCTCTGTATATATCAAAGGAGCCGAAGAACTCTGCAATCTCTCTGAAGATCAAATTTACAGAAAGCACATGACACTGTAACAAGAAAGTTATTGTTACTAAACTCTAAATATGCTTCTTTTGTTTTCCTGCAAGCCTTTTTACATAGTAAAATGCTATTTATTAGGCTATGACGAACCGTTTTTAATAAAATAGCACTCACAGGCAACTTCAAGGCTGTCAAATTTTGTTTCCTTCTAACTGCACATGATGGAGCCTGTCAAACAGGGTGCAATTAACTTTATTCCATGCACCACAGGTGTGTGTTTGGCAGAAAACAAAGGTCAACAGCAAGGTTCTACGTAGGTCTGGATTGTCATGTTTCTAACCCTAAGTAGACATAACCTACCTTAAACTTTTTACTGTGGCAAACACTATATGCATGTCAATGAAACATAAAAAGGCATTCATGCTTAGTATTACAGACAATCCTTATGAATATTCTGCTTCCCTTGTATTAGCTGTTTAAGTCCAGGCTGGTACTTCCAGGTACAACTGGAATTTTATTCTAGTTCAAATCATTGTTTCCTTCAGAGAAATACCTGACAGCTCTATGCTTGCACCCTTTGCTCTGGCTCACCATTTCGCAAGAGAACTGAGGAAGGGTGGGAGGAAAGTGCGTGGCCCAGTGAGTCACGCTGCTGATTCTCTAGGGAGAACCTCCATGAAGAGTGACATGCCAGTCACATTCCCTGAGCAAGCATTCTAGTGCCCTCTTCTGGGGAAACCTGGTTCTTGACATTATAGAGCTCTGGGTTTAAGGCAACCAAGCTACCACATGGGTGGACCATGTGCACCATGATCTTACTGTGGATAGAGGCAGGAAGCAGGACCGAAGAGTCAGGGGGTTATGAAAACAGAGAAGGACCAGGCTTCTCTTCTGCAGCACTCCTTGTCCCAGAGGTGCCACAGAATCCTAGTCTAACGTTTAACACTCAGGTGTTGGTGGGCACCTCTTCCCAAGACAGACTCACATTCCAAGAAAGTCTTGAGGCTACAGGTAAGCTTCTAAGAATAATGTCATTCAACATTAATTCATTGAATGTAATAAATTACTATGTGACATCGGTTGAACTAAAATATGTCAAAAAGTATTCAGGTGTAACTGATATACCTATAGCTTCATGTAAAACCAAGAAGGTTGGAGTAAAAACCATGAGGGACATTTCCTATGACATCTGGACACTCCACATAGCATATAAAAACTAAAGATTATCCCAGCCAGACATAGACAGTTGGTCATTTCAATTTAGAGTTGGGGACTCATTCTATGCTTCCCTAATTCTAACAATATTAGAAATTCTATATAGGGTCATTTCTGAGTTAAAAGTCACTTACATATTGAAAAATTTCAAAGGAGGCCCAAATAATCTGGTCTAGAAAATCTTATCCACAGAAGCCTAGAGTTTTGCCAATGAGTCCTTGAAAAGAAAGGTCTTCGCTGCCTGGTTCTCCACCCACATTTTTGGCCAAATCCTCCCAGTCTAGAAGCCCCCGTCCCAAAGCCTCCCACCAGGGAGCTTTTTCTGGCTTCTCTCCTCAGACACCTTGAGCTCTGCAACAATGTCCCCATCACAAGCCTTGTCATACCTAGTTCTGGGAACATTTTCCGTGCTTTCTCTCATCAAGAGGTCTGAAATCAGTGTCTCAGGGCTAGATCGTTTTCCGTATCTGGGAAAAAAAAAAGTCTTTTAAAGCAAGTTTGGAATAGGCATAAAAACCTTTAAGATAAAAGAAGATAGTCTTCTGTTTGGGATGTTAAGCCTAAAAGCTATTTTCAGTTGTGCATCTGCTAACAAACTATCTAGGTGTACAAAGCATACACCACCAGAGACATTATCATAAATATGATTTCAAATTGTATACATATTTAAACTCTGCTCAAATATTTAATAAATAATTTAGCAGATTATTCAAACCCAGCCAAAATTCCTAGTCAAATTTTTGCCTTTTTATGCTACCACAAATAATACATATACAGATATACTTTTATAACTAAGTGACGGGAAATTAAAAAACGTTGAAGTATGACTTAAAATGTTTCCATGATTAGTTAATTGACTATAGTGCTGATGATACACAGCAGTTTAAATCTTAACAAGGAGACCAGATGATATTTCAGAAACAACCCTAGGAAAAAAAAAATCAGCAGACTACCATTCAAGACCCACCTGTGTCTTTGAATCTCAATTTTCTCCTTGGTAAAAATAAAATCATAACCTCTGCTTAAATCAGAGGTTTTGTTAAAATCCAATGTGAAATGTGAGTCACAATGCTTTGAAAGTGACAAAGTGATATACAAATGCAAATTATTGCTGTTGAAATGCATCCATTCTTACAGCTACCAACAGATCCTGGGTCTTACATTTTCTGTATTTATTTGAGGTACCAGAAGCTAACAGTTTTCCCTGATGCTGTGATTTCAGCCTCCCTGGAAGTATAAAGGAATCCTACTGGTTGATGGAAATCTTTATTTTTCTCCTATAGCAGGATATGGATGGGACAATATATGAATGTAAGGCTATGTTTACCTGCCAGGGTAATATATGCTACCTGCTCCCAGACACTCCAAAAAGGTCAGGCAAGTCTACACCGAATTGTTTTTTTTAAAGCCATTTTTCCCTTTCTCAGAAAACATGTTGGACACCAGCAGCCACTTTGTTTACAAATAAAAATTAGCCTGGCATACATTGATTAATAGGTGCAACAAAGCAGGCAGAGGTTGTATTCTAACCGCCTATCAAGCACAATTCAATCGAAATGTTTCAGAAAGATTTTCCTATTACTGTTCCTTTGCTGAGACTCAAAGGGAACAAAAACAAAACACCCCCCTGCCCTACTCTCATCATTTGTAAGATTTTCTCAAAGATTTTCTGGAATTGGGATATTAGACCCTAGGCTGCTGCTTTTACTTATTTATTCTGCCCATCAGCTGATTTTACTAATCTTAAAACTCGTGGGCAACCTTAATTTATTTATCATCATCATGCTCCAGTGGATAAAAGAACTGGCAACTATTTTCTCCAATTTACCAGTAAAGAACATAAATCTGCAATATCGGGACTTGCACAGTCATGAACTACTATATATCCAGGACAGCACTGTTCACTTTTCTTCCTTCTCTAATTAATTCTGGATTACCCTTCTTCTCTATAGTGCTTTAACTTGCAAAGATTGAATCTCTAGGGCAAAGAGTCTCAAACCTGGCTGCATACTAGAATCACCTGGGGAGCTTTAACAACCACATAAAGTCCAGGCCCCACCCTAGAGGGTCTGATTTAATTGGTTAGGGGGGAATCCCAGCATCAGTGTAGTTTAAAAGCTCCCCAGGTGATTCTAATGTGCAACCAGGATGGAGAAAAACTAATCTAAGGCTGAGTTTCTCAACCTTGGCACTACTGACATTTGGGCTAGATGTTCTTTGTTATGCGGGCTGTGCTGGGCATTGTAGAATATTTAGCAGCCTCCCTACCCTCTACCCACTAGATGCCCACCTCCCATTGTGAAAACCAAAAATGTCTCCAGACATTGCCAAATGTCCTGGGGAGAAGAAAATCCCCCCCTCCCCATTGAGAACCACTGATCCAGGGGGCTGTATACGTAAAATATAGTAGACCCACACTGTAGAATAAATGATGCAGCTTTCAGAAGTAATGAACCAGTGGTATATACAGCAACAAGAATATAGCTTAAACACGTGAAGCGAGTGGGAAAAAGGAAGAGAATGATATCAGATTACCATTTATGCTAAATTAAAATATTCACAAATGACACTGTAATTTTGAAAAATACATACATGTGCGTATGAGTGGGTGTTTGTAGTGGGAAGGCAATGAGTGAAAAATGGAGATGATGGGTGCATATTACAAGCCTCTGATGGTTTCTACGAAGGAACTTATGTGAAGATGAGACATCTTCATCCTCAGGGACCAGCTCATTTCCATGTAAGCTGAATCTCTTGCCATGAAATTCAAGCCCTTCTCCCTTATTTTTTCTCATCAGAGATATTGGAGATAACACCGACTGTTGACTGTGGTGACAACACCCAAGGAAAACCAACAGGAGGGCTCCGATTCCATGACCCCTAAAAAAATCTTTCATGAAATGTCTTTAGTTTCATGAATTGTAAAATGGAGATAATGATACTCACTTCAAAGCTTTGAGGTAAAGACTGAATAATACCTATGAAAACATTTTGAAATGCCAAAGCTTTATACCATGGTAAAGCTTTATAGCAATCATCTTTGCAAAAATGAGCTCTACTGTATGTTATGTTATAACTAAATAACAAAAGGTTTTCTGCAAAAAAAAAACCAGTTAATATCTTTTTGGTTATACAAGCTCTACAATCTGTATGATTGCATAGCAAGAATTTGAAGCAATTAACTTTCTGAGAAGTTTACTAGGGTATAAAATATGGCTGCTTTTTACAAATTAAAATGATCAGATTTTAAAGAATCACAAACCAATACTATTTAATTCTGGCATTTTCATGTTCTTCTGATTCTATATAATTTGCTGAAACTGCAAAAACAAAACAAAACTATACAGAAGAAAAGAATATAGCTCCGTTTGTCTTTTCCTACATACTGTCATTTCATTTGCCCTGGGCAGGTTGAGAAGTCTGGCAAAGTCCTAGCAACGCTGCTGTTTCCTTGTTGGTTTCCTTTGATGGTTATTCAGGTTTTCCTAGACACCCTGCTGGCCCTTCTCCTTCTAGCATTTCCCAGCGCACTCCTGCCCCCTTCACCTGGCACTTTCCCTTTGAGGTTTCTAGACAGGCCCCCAACTGCTCTAACAACAATAACAAAAAACAACCAAACAAACCACCGAGGGGGTGGGTGGGTGGCCAGCCTCTTAGCCTGGTGCACCTGAATCAAAGGCTCACATCTTTGTGACTGTAGTTGCTCAGAGAAAGTACCCAGTTTGTGCAGATTGTGCCCTGCACATTTACCTAGAGCTGTGTGCCTGATACTGTCCTGCCCCGGGATAGAGAGAAGAAAAAGAACCGATCCCTGTCCCCTAAGAGCTCCAGGTGTGCAGGTACCGCGCTACGGGGTCCGTCCTGCGGAGCGCACCCACCTCTGCCTGGTGATGAGGTTGATGTAGTGTCGCAGCGCCGAGTAGTATCTGGCCATGTCTTCCGCAGGCGCATCTTCGCCCGGGTTGTCCGGCTTGGAGGGGTACGCCTCGGCCAGCGCACCCAGGCACACCAGCAGGGACAGGGCGAGGGTCAATCCAGACAGCCCCAGGCGCTTGCTACCTAGCATCTGAGGGCACAGAAGGCGCAATGAAGGGGGCTTGAGGATTCAGAGGACACACACCCCGCCCCTCCCTCCGGCACCTCCCGCGCCCGTCCCCTGCTACCAGCCTCGCCCACCAGTGCTTTCCCGTCCCAGTCCCGCAGAGAGCACCCGAGCGTGGCTAGCTCCACCTTGCGGGCCCAGGGCACCATCTGCCCTGGCCCGGCCCCTCTGCCCCGCCCGAAAACTTCGCGCAACTTCTTTCCAAGTCGCAGGGACCAAGAGTCGCGCGGCGAGAGGCGCAGGGTGGGTTTAGACACTTTAAAAACTCATTTGGAAGTTCCTCCTGATGGGTTAAAGACATGAGCGCTTTCCTCCCCCCTTGCCCAAACCCTTGTGGAAGAAGTAAACTTCATTCTCTGTTACTTTGGTCAGCCTGGCTCCAGGGGCTCACCAGTGACAACAGAGGTTACCTCGGGGCGGCAACTGCGGTGGGAAGGAGGGAAAGACAATCGCTCCTGGGGCCAGCTACGCTCAGTTTGAATCCCAAGGATCCAGAGAGGAGGCAGAGCGCGGGGGGCTCCTCACTCGGAGACGCTGCCTGGAAAACCTTCCTCCCGCGCACGGCTCTCTGGGTCGCCTGGCCGCCACCCCCAGGGAAACCTCCAGGCGCTTTGGGATAGGGGTCCGTCGTTCTCCCTCCATATCCGCCAAAAGATAACCCAAAGGGACCTCCCAGCCGGGAATGCCCAGAAGAAGGGCAGATGAGCAACTGGAGCGGAGCAGAAGGGGCAAGTGGAATTTAGCCGCCGAGAAGGGCTGGCGCGCGTCGCGTCGGGGCACATAGTGTGCAGCCTCAGGTGAGACCCTCCCAGGACCCCAGGGCTCCGCAGAGGGTGAGACTGTGTCCCGGGCAAGTTCACAGGCCACCCCTCTGCACCACCTCCCCGAGCCAAATGGGTCTCAGCACTCACCTTGGCTGGCGGGCGGGCGGGCGGGCGTGGCCGGGCGGTGAGCGCTCTGCTGTCGGGCGCGCCTCTCCGAAGGGTGAGAGCCGGAGGATGGGGTGCAGAGAGCGGGTCGCACCTGGGCTTTTATGGAGCTCTCTCTCCGCCGCAGGAGGGGCCTCGGGCAATCACGCTTGGGTGACTCCCACCCGCCACTTCCCGCCCCCGAGTGGCAGGGGGAGGGGGCTGGAGCCGCGGTCGCATGAGTGTTTACTTGAAGAGTCACCCACACCCCACTCTCCCGCCCCAGGCCCTGCTGGCGAAGGGGGGCCTGGATCATGCGAGCGAGGCTGCGCGCTCCTAGGATGCTGAACAGGACCACCAAAGCCCAGCGCCTGCCCTCCGGCCGTGCCCGGACCGGCTTTCCTTCACGCCCCGTCTAGTCTTGCCAGAGACAGGCACATCTCAGACCATCTTTGTCCCCTGTTACCGAGACTACCAACCCATTGGGCGCCGGAGGAGGGGGTACCCGAATCCTCTGTTTGGTGGAGCATCTCCGGGCCCCGCGCCGCACTCGCTCCGGGCACAACTGCGCGCTTTCGGATGAACTCAAATGGGCGCACAGACTTTTCTGCACTTAAAGCAAATCGGAGGCGACTGCCCGAAGTCCCGAGCTAGAGGCTCCCAAAGCCGCTCCCGGAGGAGCTGAGAACCGGCTTTCGTGACTTCGGCCCCTTTCCCCGCTGGTTTTTCTAGGAGGTCATCCCCGTTCAAGTACTCGCCCAAATGCAGCGAGCCCGGCTCTGTCGCGCGACTCAAAATTCCCCCGAGGCAGAACACGGTAAACCCATTTCCCCGGTTTGCTGGAAAAGAGCCACGTTTCCAGTTTCTAGAGACCCCGTAAAACGCAATAAAACAAAAATTTGGTCCAAAGTGACTGTAGTTAAATGAGCAGCAATTTCTCCCTTATCTGCCAGCCCTTGCACAGTCCCAATTAATGTTAATTGTGAATGTGTGTTTTGATGAAAATGAAACAGGTAAAAAAAATGATCAACATTCATTTGTGCATCACGTTAAACCTGTTGAATGAATATGAAAGATACAGAAACTATTCTTACAGCATCAGGATTTTATGCAGTGGACTGAAATCTTGAAGTTCCCCGAATGAATGCTCCCCAAAGTCTGAATCTTTCTAAATAAAATGACATGTTGGGAAAGTAAAGCGTTAAGTTGAACGTTGTATTAATGCTACAATGCCAAGTAATTCTGTTAAACTGACACGTTGGTTCTGTGCTGTTCCAACAATGTTGAATTTGATATCAAATACTGTGAATCCTTTGTGTGCATGTGTGTATGTAGGTGCGTGCTCGTGTGATCAAATTATAATCTTGGAGATCAACATCCCTTTCACTTGGTGACTGCTTTTCTTTATATATTGCACAAACACATGCCAGGGACACAAATATCAGGGCTCTCAGAGTTGCTCAGGGGTGCTTATACAAAGGAACTTTGGTAAAAGTGAAAAACATCTTCTAACTTAGAGCCCTTTCTTGATAAAGGGAAAGGCACAGTCCACTTTTTAGAAAATAATCCTACTTTTAGAGTGTATCACAGATTCCTATCAATTAAAACCTGGATTCAGAAGGAATCATCAAATTTGGAAGAAATTATGTCTAAGGAGGTACACCACTCTTGAGTGGAGAGCACTGTGGAGAATTGATTAATTTAGCTTAAGGTAGTGTCATTGGTCCCCAAGAATAAGAACCTATCCTCAGGGTTCAGTATTTGGAGAATGAAAAGCAGGGAGTGATGAGCCCTGTGTGAATAATGTCTTCACATCCTGTCTCCTTTCTCTCCAGTCCCAGCTGCATCCCGTGGCCTTAGGCTCTGAATGTTCTGTCTCTCTCAGGACTTTGTTTCATCAATTGCCTCCTGTCTTTCCTAGAGTTGCCTATACCTCCCCTCGGCTTATCAATTTGTTTGGATTTGTTCCATGAAAGAAACAAAACAAAACCAAAATCCCTCCCCAAAACAAGCAAAACCAACTGTCACTCAACCCAGCATTTCCTCCAAGCTGCTGAGCCATTTCTCCCCTTTGTTTCAAAGTCGTTTGCTTATTCATGTGCTTATTTGTTTTTAACACTTTATTGAGACACCATTGAAATACCCAAGGCTACAAATGTTTAAAATATTCAATTCAATATAGTCTTACATGTATGTGTGCCCATGAAACCATCACCACAACCAAGATAATGAACACACATATCACTTCCTCAAATTTCCTCATGTACATCTGTAATTCCTCTCCCTGCCTCTCCCTACCCCCTGCTCCATTGATCTGCTTTCTGTCTCTGCAGATTTGTTTGCATTTTCTAGAACTTCATATAAATGTAATTCCACAGTATGTACTCTTTGTCTGCCTTCTTTCACTCAGCATCATTATTTTTGGATCCACTCATTTCATTGCAAGTACCAATAGTGCATTCCCTTTTATTGCTAGACAGTATTCCATTGTATGATATACTTCAAAATTTTTAATCTATTCAACTGCTCATATATTTTGGGTTGTTTCAGCATTCCAAAATCCGTGAATAAAGCTGCAATGACATTCATTTATGTGTCTTTTCATGGGGATAAGCCTTCATTTCTCCCGGGAAAATACTTAAAAGCAGAATGGCTGAGTCCAATGGTGAGTGTATATTGTCCCATAATTCACTGAGGGTCTGTTTTGGTTTCTGTTTTGTTCCTTGTTTTCCCCTGTGTGTTTTATTTTGAAAAGATTCTACTGCTATGCTTTAGAGTTCACTTATCTTTTCTTCTGCAGTATCTCTTCACTGTCAATCCTATCCAGTGTATTTTGCACCATATACTAACTATGTAGCTTTCATCTCTAGAATTTTAGTGTGTATCTTTGTTATATCTCCCTTATCTCAACATGCCCAATCTTGTCCCTCAATTCTTGAATATAAATTAATAATAACTTTTGTACTAATAACATTTATGTCATTTTTGTGTCACTTTGGCGTAACTTTTCTCTAAATTATGGCTTGTATTTTCCTTCTTCTTTGTATACCTAGTAATTTTTGATACAATGTCAGACGTTGTAAATTTTATCTTGCCATTTGTTGAATATTTTTATATTCCTATATAGCTTTGTTCTGAGACAGTTAAAAACTTGGAAATAACTTTATCCATTCAGGTCCTACATTTCAGTTTTGTTATGTAGGACCAGAGCTGGCTTTAGTGTAGGTTTAGTTTTTCCACACTTGAGGCAAAATCCTTTTTGTTATTTTTAACTGATACTTGATGCCTCCCTGAGTTGTGCGGTTTTCCCCTCTGGCTGTTGAGACAGGCACTATTCTCAGCCCTGGGTGAGCACTGGGCACTGTTTACTCTCATCCTTTGTATGGTTCTTTTACTGGTCTCAGGTGGTTTCTTCATATGTATGATCTGATCAGTAATCAACTAAATACTCAAGGGTATTTATTTTAGTTTATATACACCCTATATATCTCTAGAGTGTCTTCTGGCTCACCCGGTACAATACCTGTGGACTCTAGCTGCCCTGGACCCCACACTACCTGCCCCAGCTCCTCTGCCAGGCTAATTCAATTCCTCCCTTCTTCACTGTAGCCTGGATGACTTCTTCAGGCAGGAAGCTGGGACCATTGTATGCTCCCTCATTTGTTTTCCATATCTAAGAGATCCCGGTCCTTTGTTTGCTGATGTCCAGTGTTTTGAGTGTTGTTTCTTATATTCTTGTCTAGTGTTTTAGTTGTTTCAGAGAGGAGGGTAAATCTAATCCCTGTTTCTTCATCTTCACCAGGAGAGGAAGTCTCATAGCAAGGTTCTTTAAACAGTTGTTTCTTTTCATTGCCTCTGCTTCTTCACCTTATGTTTGATCATGAAACCACCACAATCTAGATTCTATCTGAAGCAAGCTGCTGAATCTGCTATCAGTAAGACCTCCTAGTTGCAAACCACAGGGACCTTCACCAGTTACTTGACTTCTCTTGATCATCACCTTTGCTGATTTCCTCTGATTCACCTCCTTTTTCTCTAAACTGGCCATCGTCTCCTTTGTTAACTCTCCCTTCTGCACCCCAAGTCCCAGCCTTAACCTTTCCACTCCATACATACTGACCAATCAAACTCCTCTACTCCCCCCAGCTTACGAGTCTGAAATCTCTATCTCCAGGCCAGGTTTCATACCCAGAATCTAGGGCTATATGTCCAACTCAGAAAATCTCCACCAAGAGCCTCAAATTTAGATGGAGCTTCCATTTACACTAATTCTTGATTAAATATCATATGAAGTCCAAAATATTTTCAAAATCTTTAAACTATAAGGCCCCACATACTTTGGACCTTACCTACCTTCTAGTCTCATCTAACATAACTTTCTCCTTCACTGTCTATATTCCTGTTCATTGGCCTTCTCTCTGATCCTTAAATATGTTGATAACTTTTCCCATTTGGGCCTTCATTGAGCTGTGTCTGCTCTCTGAGATATTCTCTCCCTCAGCTCTTTACCTGTCGTCACTTGCACATCCTTCTAGTTTCTCTTGAAATGTCCCTTCTCAATGGAGGATTTTCTTGGTCCTCCAGGATGGATTAGATCTCCTATTATAACTTATCATTAACTGTATTTAGCTGCATTTCATATATATATATATGATATAGTTATTATATTGCTATTTGTTTAGTAGCTATACATTTTATTATGTTAATTCCATAAGAGAAGGGAAAATGCATGTTTTATTTACTTCCACATCCCTAGTATGATTCCTAGCACTCAATAGATGCTATAGTTTGGTTTGTCTGACCTCTTCAAATCTCATGTTGGAATTAGATCCCCAAAGTTAGAGGTGAGGCCTAATGTGACATGTATGGGTCATGGGGGCATGTCCCTCATGAATGGCTTGGTGCCCTCCCCAAGGTAATGCGTCAGTTCTTGCTCTATAGTTCCTGCAAGAGCTGGTTGTTTAAAAGAACCTGGCACCCTCTCCCCTCTCTCCCTTGCTTCCTGTCTCACCATGTGATCTCTGCATATACCCTTCACCTTTTGCTATGAGTGGAAACAGCCTGAAGCCCTCGCCATAAGCAGGTGCTGGTGCCAGGCTTCTTGTACAGCCTGCAGAA